GCTGGACTCTGGGTTCTGAAAGCACCAGGCAGTGTGTGAACTATGGGATTGTCTATGTGCCGATAAAACTTTATTTGCACGAATCAGATTTGGCCCAGGGAGAGTCATGTGCCAGACCTGATGTAATGAAGGGATCCGCTCCCAGGGCTGGCCCAAGGCAATGTCCTGTCACTGCAGTGGGGGCAAGTCTGTCCCACTGAGGGCGCCCATGTCACTGGATCATGACAGGTGAGATGAAGAGCCAGTTCCTTTCACACATACCTGGACCCGAGCAAGCAGTGTTTGCTCATTGTCTGAACAAACCTTGTTGAGTCTTGTGAGGGAATTTTTTTCGTTGCTTCTTGGCAGAGAGCATTACCTTTGTTTAAATAGCTGCAGGGAACTACCAAAAAATTGAACAAACTAGAGGTAAGCAGGTTACGAGTGTTGAGTATTTTTTTCTCAATTCACTCTGCAACATTTCAGAAATAGGTAAAAGCATTCTACTTTCCTTCTCAGACTTCCCAGACTTGAATTTGATGTTTATCATTCCTCTGCATTTCATTTTGTAGAATCAGGGTCAGCAAAACTGTTCTATAAAGAACTTGCTAGTGAATGTTTTCTGCTCTACAGGCCACACAGTATCCATCACAACTGTCATGCAAAGCCAGCTATAGACAATACATAAATGTGTCTGTACTTCAGTAAAACTTTATGTATGAAGACAAGCAGCAGGTTTCAGGCAACCCACGGGCTGTAATTTGCCAACTCTTGATATAGAGTATTAGCTGAGTGTTTTTCAGCTTTTTAGACATTATCTTGGCATGTGCATTCTTTTGACACTTGCTTTATCCACCCCAAATTATGTCTGTGAAATTTACCCCTCTTCACACATGTAGCTATCCATCATTCATTTTCACCACCATATAATATTCCATTCTTTGACTGGAGGACAAGTCATGTGTTTGTTACACCCAAAACAGCAGTGGCGAATCATTTCTCACGGTTCTGTGGGATGACTGGGAGAGCCTTCTGCTGGTCTCAACTGGACTGTCAGCCAGGTCAGCTCAGAGCTGGCACAGCTGGCATGGCTGGGCCTCTTTCTCAGCATGGCCTTACTCCCAGACTTCCTCACAGAAGGATGAGGTCTCAGAGTTCTGGAAACTACAAAGTCTTCTTGATGGTAGTCCTCAGAGCTCACATGGCACTCAGACATTCCCATTGGTCATTACAAGTCACAAAGGTGCTGAGATTCTCAGGGTGGGAACAGACAGCTGAGAGAGCTGTGAAATAGTGTTGTCACGTTTTCCACTCTCCTACTGTTGACCTAAATTTCTTACAAGGGAGCAGGAATCTGACCAAACAGATAATGAGGCTGTTAGCATCTAGGAAATGTGAAATATAGGAAGCAGGTAGTAGACCTCCCATGTCTATCGAGTAGACAATCCTTGCTGTCTTCCTGTACTGCTCAAGAAAGAAGGGTAGAGCGGCCTCCACATTGCCCCTGAAATGCAAGGCTGGGATTTCTCCTCTGGATAAGGTCCTGGAGATTGGGAGCAGGGACTCACCTTCCTTGGTGCAGGATTTCATTTGTTAAGAAACCAGAACATACAAGTCCTCAGTTGAAACCAGTAAGATTGTCAGAGCAAACAGCTCATTCAGAACTATGTGGTGAGAGAGCTGGAGGCGGATTTTAAAAGCCCGTTGTACCTCTGCACTGTGATCTGGGTGCTGCTGGGAACACACGGTGTGCAAATGAACTTTAAAAGAATATTAGCGTTAATCTATTTTTTCTTTTTCTTTTTTAAAAATTTTTTATAATATAATAGTTTAGAGTTAATCTATTTTAATATACATCATGAAGAATAAATGTAACCTACTGAGTCTGTATTTTCTGGTTGCTATTATTATTATTTAAAGCAAGCAGAGTTTTTAATTGAGTTGATTTTGAAAATAATATGAAATGAATCCTTTTTGATGGTCCTGGGAGGTGGAAAAACCAAGAAAAGTATACACAAGAGATTGGAGCTGGGAAAACTCTGACCTGATTCAAACCTCTTTTTTTTTTTTTTTTTTTTAATGAGAAAATTGAGTCTCAGAGTGAAGGGGGATTGCTTAAGTGATATCTCAGTGCCAGGAACTGAGAACTCTGAGCTAATAGACTTTGCATCAGCAAATGTTGATGCTGTAAACACAAACCAGCATGCATCTGTCCTCTGCTCTAAGTACTCCAGGGCTCTGCTCACTAAGGGAGATCAAAGTCAAAGCCTTCTTGGTGTGTCCTGACTATCTTGCCTTGGCCTCCATGGCCTCTCCAGGCCCACTCCGCTGCCCAAGCCTCCACTCTAGCCAGGATACTGCTGCTTCTCTGCCAGCATGCAAGCATGACCCTGCCTTTGCACACACTTCTGTCTTCTCTGCTCCCTCCAAATATCCATCCAAATATCTTGCTCCCACACCTCCTTTAGATCTTTGTTCAGATGTCACCCTTTCACAGGACTTACCAGATCATCTCCTTAAAATTCCAGGTCTTTCTTCCCCTTTAGCCAATACTCCTTCCTTGCTCTGCCTTGTTCTTTCCCATAATGCCTTAAGACTTATATAAGTGAAGTCCAAAAAATTCAGTCACATGTGGAGGTTGAGTTAGTGTGCAGTTAATGAGGTGGCAGGGATCAGTAAGTGTGTCTGGCCAGCTGAGCGTGCCAGGATCTGGGAGCCAACCATATTCTATCCAAATTTACTTTACCGGATTGCTTCATACGTCGTTCAGCTGCTCTATGTGTTTCGCTTATTTTTCTACCCTCAGTCTTCTCCCACTAGATTGTAAGCTTTAAGCAGAGCTCTCTTGACTGTTCGTTCATGCTGTGTTTCCGGTGTCAAAAATCTGTAACTCCCACCTCACTGTAGTGCCACGTTAACACTCGTGGAATGAACAATTAGTGTGTCCCTGTTGGCGACGCCTCTACAGTTCATGTGCTCGCTTCCCGCTTCACCATATTAGCTGAAGGCTGTGTGGAATGTGTGGGTGGCTCCTGAGCCTCTTGCGGAGGTTTTCGTCCATCTTTTCATCCCACTGTGTGTTCTCTTCATTTGTGGGAGCGGGTGGGCAACAAGGAAAGCAACAGGCACAAAGCTAGCTCCAGAAGCTCTTGCAGAGGAAGAATCGTTCACTAAACACCATCCGCCAAAACCCTGACGCACAGTTAAAGCACGCACGGTGCTACTCTGTGGTGCAGGTGGCTGCAGGCCCAGTCCCCTTCACACAGGCAGGAAGCAAGAAGCTGGCCACTTGTGCAGACTGTGGGATCTGGCGGCCTTCCTTTCCCTTATCCACTCTGATGGTGTCCTAAGATGTAAAAAAAAAAAAAGAAGAAGAAGAAGCTACAATGAAAAAATAATGACTTAAAACTCGCCTCCTCAATGTCACCAGGACAGTATAGGACCTGTGGTGACCTGGGAAATACACAAACTGAGGACCTTAGGGGATTGTCTGTTGTCACATGGGAACACAGACTGGCATTGCTGCACCATCCTGTTGCTCAGAATTTTTGGTAAAATCTCCTGATTATTAAACAAAAGCAACAAATTCAGATTTTCCTTTAAAATATTCAGCTCTCACAGATATATCTGTAGGCTAACTTTGGCTCCCAGCCAGTTTACAGCTCCAGGTTGGAAAGCTGATAAAATTACATGCAGTCTTGACTTAGTCGCTCTTCTGTAGATGACAAGGAAGCATCCTAATCATGTGTCACTGGTGCTTCTTTTTCCTCCTCCCAAGGCATCAAGACAGAAGACAGTTTGAACCATTCCCCTGGCCAGAGTGGATTCCTCAGCTATGGCTCCAGCTTCAGCACCCCACCCACTGGACAGAGCCCATACACCTACCAGATGCACGGTCAGTGTATGCGTCAGCCCTTCCCTGCGTGTCTCTAAGGCACTGCCTGAGCAGGGTGTACAATTGTTTCTTGATTCAGCAGACTTATTGAACACCTACTATGTGCCAGTAGTGGACAGACTAGGTAACCAAGGCCTGCTCTTGTGACAGCTGTATAGCAACAGGGAGATTGACAATAAAGCAGCAAGTAAACAGGCCAATTTTGAAAGAGGTTGAATACAGTGAAGCAATAAACATGATATTTGAATAGAGAGTGATGAGTAGTTGGAGGGTCAAGAGAGGGTGACTTACGTACCTCTAGATTGAATCATCAGGGTAGACCCTTTGAAGAGGTAACATTGGATGAAGGGTCCAAATTGTGTTTGAGGTAGAACCAGGCATGTGCAGGCCTGAGGAAGAGCATTCCAGGCAGAGGGACTAGCCAGTGCAAAAATTGTATGGGGAGAAATATCTTTTTTTTTTTGATAAATTTAACATGTTGCATTTTACAAATGTAAGGTGTATTTCAAAGTGATCATCACTGAAGCAGTATTTTTCACATCGCTATAGAATATTTAGTCTGTTGTCAGTTTATTGTACATTAAATCTGTCTCATTTATTATCGGTTACAATTTTGCACCTTTAAACACCTGCAAGCCTATCACTCCAGCCCATCCCCATCATTTTATTTTTCAATATCCCCCCACATCAAAATGATATCACATAGAGACATCATTCTCTGACTGGCTTGCCTCATTTATCATAACATGGTCAAGGTCCATCCATGGTGTCATAAATGGCAGGACATCCTCCTTTTTGTGACTGAATAATATTCCACGGTGTATTTATACCACTTCTTTTCATCTATTCATCTGATGATGAACATGTGGTTTCTGCCATATCTTGGCCACTGGGAATAGTGTTGCAATAGACATGAGAGCATATATATCTCATTGAAACCTGTTTTCATTCCTTTTGAAGATATTCCTAGAAAAAGAATTGCAGAATTTTATGGCCTATTTTTAATAGTTTTGAGGAACCTTCATATTATCTACTCTCAAGTGTTGACTAATTTGTGTTTAGTGTCCAGCAGTGTCTAAGGGCTCCCTTTCACCAGAACCTTTTTGTCTTGTCTTCCTGATGACAGCCTTTCTAACTGGTGTGAGCTGTTCTCTCTCTTGTGGTTTTGATTGGCACTTCCCTGACGATCAGATCATCATTTCATGTCCCTTTTGCCAGTTTTGATGTTCTCCTTTGAAAAAAAAATTTTTTTTGATGATTGTTTGGGCTTACTGTTTGTGTTGTTTCTTTGTATATTTTAGATATTAATCCTTTTTCTAATACATGATTTGCAAAGCTCCCTCCCATTCTGTAGACTGCCATTTCATTTTGTTAATTGCCTGGAGGAGAAGGCCTTTATGTGTTTGAGGTACAGAACAGAGCCCAGAGAGGCTGGAACAGAGGGGTGCAGCCAACCATGTGAAAAGTTAGAGAAAGGGCAACCCCAGCAGAGGAAAGGCCTGGAGGCAGGAGAAGCCTGTAGTGTTGACGGAGTCCATCAGAGACCCAGGCATCTGGGTGTCATGAGTAAGCAGGGCTGAGATCAAAGGGAAGCAAGAGCCTGAAGGACATGTAAAATAGCGTTATTTCCTCTCTGGTCCTTATAGCAATCACCTAAGATGGCCACCATCTGACCTGCTAACAAAAAACAAGGCTCAGTGAGGGAAAATCACTTGCTTAAGATCACAGAACCAATAAGTATACTGAGCTGGGTTTCCAGAACCCCAGTGCTCATGCTGACCATCCAGTGCTGTTTCCTAGGCTTCTTCAGGCGGCCAGGCACTCCCTGAGCTCTGTGTAATCCTCCCAACCACCTCATGAGGTAGGCTCTGCCACCACCTCCATCTTCCAAGTGGAGAAACTGAGGCACAAAATGGTGAAGTGCTTTGCCCTAGGTCATGTATGTGTGGCCCTGGATTTGAAGGGTGCAGTTGCCCTACAGAGCCCACACTTACCCACATCTACCCTATTCTCCACACTCTGGTAGATCCACCTAGAAGGTGTGGGTGAGCCCTGATCTCAATCCTGCCCCTATCCCCCCACTGAATCCCCATCAGTCCCTCACAAATAGAAAAACATCTGCTCTCTTCCCACCCGACCATGGTTATTTTCTTATCGTCCTCCTGGCCCAGATGCCAGAAGGGCCATAGCAACAGCTGGACTTTGTCCTAATTAACTGCCTTCAGCCTAATGCTAATGGCCATGAACTGCTCTTGAGACAGCCCAGGCATTTTGCAAGCCTGACATATTCCTCCTTGAGTATTTTTTTTCAAACACAAACACTTAGAACGCTCACACACCATGCCCATGTGCTTCCTATTAACTTTTTTTTTTTTTTCAAGTTGTTCCAGAGGAGAAATAAACTCTCTGTAGGATTTCAGAATAGAAGACATGGTTGAGCTTAGTTTTACAAACGAATGAGGAAATGAAGAGGGAGATTGAGACTGTTTTAGGCCAGAAAGCCTAAGACTTCTTGGAGTAAAATGAGAAGCTGAGATGAATTTCTAGCTTTTTGAAGAATTCCAAACAGAATTTTGAAGAAGCAAGGAGAATCTGAGTAGATTCACTTGTGAAATGATGCCTACCTTATCATTTTAAAGGTGTGTAAACTGAGGCACGGCAGTAGAGTGGCTTGCAGAAGGTCACGGGGCAAGCAAGAATTCAGTAAACTGAGTTGCCTAGCTAAGTCTTCTGTTAATCTCATAAACCTACAGAAACTTTAGCAGAGCCATTCCCACTCCAGGCCCCGGTCTGAGATCTGTATCTGTTTTGATAACACTGTCCCTCCAAATGTACAACAAACGTAAAAGAGAAAGTTCACAGCCTTTGCATGGCTGTTTATTATCTTTTTTAAAGTTCACACAGGGTTTTTTTTTTTTTATAGCTGAAATGTATTTCTTTTAGATTTGATTTTTTGTTGTTTCCTTCCTTCTGGCATCTGCTGCTTAAACACTGCTATTCACATAAAAGATTTAAAGAAGAGGAAAAAGTGTGGGTTGTAAGAATTTGCTGGTGCCATGCAGAGGGCCCAGCACTCTGGACCAGGCCATGCTCCTTCCTGGCCATGCCTCATATCTGTGGTTGAGACGCCTGACTTCTCTATGCCTCAGTTTCCTCACCTGTGAAATTGGTGTCATAGGGAGATGACCCCATGGGACGCTTGGGGCAACTGTGAATACTAATTCATGGCACATCGGGCAGGGTTCAGATAGGCCATAAAGACTGGAACCTCTTTGTTATTCATTAGCTCTTCTATGACATGGTAATGAAAAACAATAATTCTGGAAGGCGTTTGAGAGAATTAAGTGCAGTCAAACAAGTCATGACATTAAAGATAGATAGTGAACATTTACATAGCAGACAGTGCAATAGAGTGAAGTATCTGTATTTATCAAAAGTAGTGGACATTGACAACACCATGAGGATTCTGAGGTTAAGAGGGAGGGGGAGGGGAAGGGACATTGAAGATGGTGACGGTGGATAAGTAAGTAAATAAATACACAAGTTGGCAGGGGGATTTCTGAAATCTAAATCATAAACCACTTAGGAGCTCTAAATCATTCTGGTGCCACTGTCCCTGGCCCCAGTGAGCCGTGTGACTTTGAGCAGTTTGCCAAACTTGCATGGTCTGTGTTTCATAGCTCGTGTGCTCACAAATGCTCATTGAAAAAGTAAAAAGGATAATTCGTGACAAATACATCAGATATATTTGGTAAACAGTGTGAAGCACAAAGTTAAGTGGGCATCTTCCTGCAGTAATTCCAGAACTTTTGCAGTCTCATGCACCTTGTGACTCTCCAGGGATGGAATTTAATAAGTCAGTTTTCCCAGGTTGGCTAAAACAAGGACCCCATTGTTCCCACATAATGTGGGTGCTCACTGCAAAACTCTGGATGTGATGCTCTTCCTGCGCTAACGTTCTTTGATTCTCCTTTATTTTTAAGGAAGAACCTGTGTGCTTTCTTTTCGTTCCGTATTTTAGTTAATTTAATTTTTCTGGGCTATGACTCACATACCATTAAATTCATCCTTTTAAAGTGTGCGATTTAGTGGTTTTGCTGTAGTCATAAAGTGATGGAGCCACGACCACTATCCAATCTCACATTTTCACCAGCCCAAAATGAAACCCCATGCCCATTCTCCATCACTCTCTATTTCCCCTCTCACCAATGTATTTCTTTTTTGTGATAAGAGAAAAAAATTCATGTGAAGTTATTCTAGTATCAATTGTTTAAGCATATTGTGCATTTAACTAGTTTCAACATGGACAGAAATCTCTCTTCCACTCTTGTTCCACCATCCACTCAGTTTCCAAGCCCTCCACAATTAATCACTTGTGCTAGATTTTGAACCCATCCATAATTTCTTTTGCAAATACTGGCAAACGTGAGCACAACCTATTATATTGTGTATGTTTTAAACGATATTTCACTCATACATGATTCATAAATAAGGAAATGATGTCAGCATAACTCTGATGTTGCACTGATTTCTTTGCTTTTAAGACTTTCTTCTTATTCCTGGCTTTAGACAATGTCATTTTTAGGTGCCTCGTTTTAGTTTTCTTTATGATTCTGGTGTTTTGGGATCATTGAACACCTCAAACATGTGAGCTTATGATTTTGGTCAAATTTGGAAACGTCTGAACATTTCTTTCACCAAATATCTCTTATGCTGTTTCTTCTACCCCTGTGTGTTCAAGTTAAATAATCTTTTGTGTTAATCTGATCGGCTATTGATTACACCCTAGGCGTTTTTCATCTCTTACCTAGCTTTCATCTCTAGAAGCTTTATTTTGGTCACTTTTTTATGTCTTCCATGTCTCTACTTAACAATCTTTCCTCTGGCCCCTTGAACAGACAGAATACCATTACAGCTACTATTTAATGCCCCTGCCTACTAATTCTGTCTTCTGTCTCTTCTAGGTTGTTACTGATTTTTGTCTTTACTATATGTCATAC